TCTAGAGTGACCTTCGTCTGAGACCCTGGAGAGCTGGTGCCAGTCAGGGTAGACAATACTGGCCTCACTAGACCAGTGGTTTGCTTTCGTGTAAGACAGCTTCATGCGTCAGATTTGTGTGTGTGAGAGATTGGTTTGACTTATTTTATATTTGTATTTAGGTTTATAGACTGCCTTTTATTATTACGGCTTATAATAACCCCCCCCCCCCCAACCTAATTTTTTTTCCATTGCAGTCCTATAGAGTTACTCCAGTCTGAACCCACTGAAATGTATTGATTTGTACCCTGCCCTCCCCGCCAGAGCAGGATCAGGGCGGCTTACATAAAATTGCAACAGTAAATAAGATAAAAACATAAATAAAAATATCATCATAAAACACAATTAATAAAATCGGTTTATATAACGTTGGTGGTGCACAGTAGCAGTAAACATATAGATTACCGGAGTTCATCAGATACACCAGTTGGGTCATCAGAAGAACATAAGAAGAACCCTGCTGGGTCAGACCACTGGTCTATCTAGCCCGGCCTCCTGTCTCACAGTGGCCAGCCAGAGGGCCAACAGCAGAGTGCAGAGGCCGAGGCCTTCCGCCGGTGTTGCCTCCTGGCACTGGTATTCAGAAGTCTACTGCCTCTGAATGTGGAGGTTCCCTTTAATCTCCATGGCTAGTAGCCATTCAGGCCTGTCCTCCATTAATCTGTCCAATCCCCTTTTAAAGCTGCCTGCACTCCCCTCTCCCCAGTCGAACAAAAGGTCGTTACAGTTTATTGAGTCAGGGGGGTGGGCATCCTGGGTCTCCCCAGCATGCCCGGTGTGGTCGCGTCACTTCTGAGTGATGTGGATGCGGTGTGCGCGCGCGTGCTCTCCAGCCGCCAGCCAGGAGTCCCCCCCCTCCTCTGTGGAAGGCAATGCTTTTCCTCTTCTGCTCTGTATATTGAGGAAGATCAGCCGAGTGAAGCTGACACTAATTAGCTGCTCATACTGTACATTCTTGGCAGCAGGAAGGGAGTCTGCTAGGCATCCAGTTGAGCGGTGTTCGATGAGATGCCATAGAGGTCAATTCCTGTTCCTTCCATTAGCCTCTCTTAGGGTACCAGGCATAGATGTCTCTTAATTTGGAGCCTATGGCATTAAGAAGCGGGGAGGGAGCTTCTGCTGTTTGCCCTTCATTCAGCAGGGGACGGCTGTCTCCTAGAAACCCAAGGGGAAAGCTTGCTAATTCATTGTACCTCATTGGCTCATTCTGCATCTAGCTTTCGCTCTGCTGTTTTACCAAACCCAGGTTGGATCGGAAATTCCCCTCTACATTGCATGCCACTTTCACTTTCGTTTGATTGTTGGATTTTATTATAGCCTCCACACTGCATGTTGGTTTCACTTTCTTTGATCTCTCGGTTTTATGGCAGCATCTGCATAGATTTATGGCCGTTTTATGACTGTTCAGGGGTGACTCTGCAGTCAGTATGGCGTTGGCCCCCGGGTATTTGAATGTGGTTTTGAGCCGCATCTTTTTTCTGTTCCAGTGTGGCTTTGGTAAAACAGCGGAGCGAATGCTGGATGCAGAATGGGCCTTAGTGAGGATGGTGCCAGTTTCTCACCAGCACCTTTGCAAAGAACTGTGATCAATAAGGCTGCGTGGTCCTTTCTTATGTATTCGTGGGCATTTTACTAAAGATTATTTGCCCCTTGGAAAGCTTCATGATGAAAATTCTTGAGGACTTAGGGGGGGGTGTTAGACAGATTCATGGAGCATAGGACTATCAGTGGCAGTTAGCCAAGGTGAATGTGGACCTCCACATTCAGAGGCAGTAAACCTCTGAACATCAGGACCAGGAGCCAACGTCAGGAGAAGGCCTTGGCCTCTATGCTCTGTTGTTGGACCTCTAGAGGAACCAGTTGTCCACTGTGTAGGCTTGCCAAGTACCCGCGGGGGCGGGGAAACCCCCGCCCCAGAGGCCCGTTTCCCGCCGGCGGCGGATCGGGCCCTGGGGGGAACCCCACCCCGACGTGCACGTCACCTGGAAGTGACACGCCCACGCCGGGCACGCTGGGGGCGGGACCACGGTCATCCGAGGGAAAACTCTATGGTTTTCCTTCGGATGGTCGTGGCCCCGCCCCCAGCGTGCCCGGTGTGGTTGCGTCACTTCTGAGTGATGTGGATGCGGTGTGCGCGCATGCTCTCCAGCCGCCAGCCGGGAGTCCCCTGCTGCGGCGAAAATAATACTTGGCAACCCTACCACTGTGTGAGACAGGATGTTGGACTAGATTGATCTTATATTCTTAGTGGTAACCGTGCTCATCTGTTCCGGGGAAAACTGAACTTGAGTCCAGTGGCACTTCACAGACGAACAAAATCTATTCAGTTTTTATGAGTCAAGAGCTTCTTTCATTGATTGTGCAGTGTGTATATCTGTAGAAAGCTTTCAAGTTGATAAAGCGGTAGACTTTCCCCCATGCTTTCTTTACATGATGGTGCATGAAGTAGAGGCCCAACTATATGGCCCTTACTTGAGGGAATTAAGTTTCCCGTTCCAGTATTTCAAATCCCTGTAACTATCTGCTCTCATATTGTATTAATGGCAGAACAAGGCAGGCTGGAAAGTGCGGCTGTGTGGGGTAGGCATGACTGTACTTTAGAGTTCCTGTATAGTTGACATCATGCGCATTGAATGTATTTGTGAGCCGCCCTGAGCCCGCTTGCAGGGAGGGCGGGCTATAAATCAAAAATAATAAATAAATATATTATCTTTAACAGCCTGTGTACAGTGTCTGGGACTATTGTCTCATCCCTGTGGAAAAATAGACAAGGACACTCATCCCACTGAAGAGGACACAAGTGTTTTTCTGCTCTGGAGCAGTAAGGAGCTTGTGTAAGCAGCAGCTCTCTGACGTGCGGATGGCGATGTTTGTCTTGCTGTCTCTTTCTGCTTTAAAAGTTGTGTCCCACCCTGAGCTGAGCCAAAACAGCATAACAGATTTTTTTTTGAGTGCCAGTGTTGCATCTTTAAACTTAGGACTTGGAAAAAATATTTTACATTCCTAACGTTTGCTTCATTTACTTAGATCTACTGGAAACTTTTTAAAGCCTTGATAGGAAGTACGCTTGCCGGAGGATCCTGATTGTGGCACTGCCGTTTCCTAGTAAAAGTGAGGTGGGAGGGCAGAAGGGTCGCTTCTGCTTGAAAAAAGTATGCCTACAAGGCTACTCCGGGTAGTGCTGATCGTGAAGTACTCTTCTTTGAAGAACAGCCTGACGGTGTTAGAAATATTGAAATGAAACGCCGCACCATTCATTTTTATTAGTATGCACTTAACGAGGAGACTTCAAAAGTGGAGAAGCGACTTTTTAGCTGTACGGTTCAAAGATCTGCAGGGGTTGAAAATTCATTGGGGTGGATGCATGGGTCTTTTGATTTGGAGCAATTTAAAAATAGGGCCCGGTTGTAATGCATTTTATGTTTAGAATACGTGTCAGTCATCCCTGCAGAAATCCCCTTGATTTCATGTTTTGGATGACTTTGAATAAGATGCACTTAATGTAAAATACGTGTGATGGATTGTAGGCTCATTTGTTAATCTACAATTTTATTTTCTTCCAGTTTGTATTGAGCTCATGGGTTTATTTAAAAGCTTTTGATTTGCAGACAGACAGCACACAGGTGGACGCAAGTACAATTCTTTGTTTCATAAGACCTGCTCTTAATAGAAAGCAGGAGAAAAATAACTTTCACTTACAGTCCTGTTAAACTATCTGGATGCAATTCTTTTTTGCTTTATTGCTCCTTAAAATGATGGTCTGAAGTACATGTTAAACATTTATGGCTTAATGTTAGGTATTTTTACTTGGACGTTTTAGCCAAGGTTGCTACAGTTTTTCAAGTAAACGTGTACAGGATTTCACTCTTCAGTTGGATGGGGATTCTTTTGGAATTCCCCCTCCTCTCACAATATTAGAAACTTTGGGTAGTCCAGTGAAGATGATGGGTAGTTGGTTTGGAGACAGCAAAATACATAAATAACATACGGAATTCACTGCCTTGACTTGTGCTGATGGCCGCTAGTTTATCTGGTTTTCAAAGGGGGCTGGATAATTTCTTGGAAGTCAGTGGATGGCAACTGAAATGCCAGTCTTCCCAGAAATGATCCAGCCCCCTTTGAACACCAGTGAGCCCTGACCTGGATAGCGCCCTGGTGGGGAGAGCCCAGGCTAGCTTAAGCTCAGAAACTAAACAGGGTCAGCCCTGGCTAACATATGGCTGGGAGACCGCCAGAGCAGAGGTAGGCCATGGCAAACCACCTCTGAACGGGTCTTGTCTTGAAAACCTAATGGGGTCACCGTAATTCGTCTGTGACTTGATGGCAGAAAAACCTGAAACAAAATCCACTGTGATGCTTGGAGGGAGTACCCCATGAACTCCTTTTGCTGGTGGTCAGCAGCTGTTTCCTTAGAATCACAGAATCACAGAGTTGGAAGGGGCCAATACAGGTCATCTAGTCCAACCCCCTGCTTAAAGACTGCCAGTGAGGGGGAGCTCACCACCTCCCTAGGCAGCTGATTTCCACCGTCGAAGAACTCCTCCTGTAAAAAAGTTTTTCCTAATATCCAGCTGGCACCTTCCCGCCCTTAATTTAAACCCATGATTGCGAGTCCTGGATAATTTCTTCATTGCCTACTTGTGAGCTTCCAACAGGCTTCTGGTTGTTGGCCTAGAAAGGCCTGGTTGATACTAGTGGAGATCCTTCAGGTTGGGGATGCCCTGTTGTTGGATCTCCAGAGGAGTTGGTTGGCCACTGTGTGAGACAGGATGTTGGACTACATGGACCACTGGTCTGAGCCTGCAGGGCTCTTGTGTTCTTGCGTAGTCATGTCTGTCTGGGATGTGTGAATTTTCTGATTTGTTGGTAACTCGTTCATGGCTGTTGGTACAGTCCAAGACCAAGTATCTGCCTTTGAATTAATATATGAAGAAATCATGGGCCTTTGTTTCAATTTTCAGAGCAGTGGGAAAAGTTCCGTTCTGGAAAGCCTGGTGGGAAGGGATCTGCTCCCAAGAGGAACGGGGATTGTGACCCGGCGACCCCTCATCCTGCAGCTGGTGCATGTATCGGCTGAGGATCGTCGGAAAACAGCTGGAGAAGAAAACGGTGAGTGGGGATTGAGAGAATGAAGTGAAGACTCTGTTTAAATTAAATAGACTGAATATCAAAGTGGAGATGTCAAAATCAATTAAATAGACTGACTGTGTATCATAGTGGAAATGATATATCAAATTTAAGAACCTTGATTATGAAGATTATTTCTTCTGCAGTTGAAACGTGATTGACTTTGTTTATCTAAGTTGAGAAGGAATTTGTTTACATTTTCATTAGCTTTATTTAGATAATAAATTTGCAGATGTATTTTTGTGTAATGTAATTCATCTGACTTTGTTAGCTGTTTTTCTGTTTTTGGTTGAAAAAACCTTGAAATCTGTAGCTGACTTTATAGTGATATAAGAAAGAAAATGGTATGGGTTGTCTCTGGGACGTAATCCTTGAGGAAGCAACTGATCGTGCATCATTCTTGTGTAGTCAAGTGACCGGTATTAATTTTCAAAGTCACCGAATTCTGTCAACCCTGATGTCCTTTTTGCATTTTTCTGTCTGTACATCCTGGTGACAAAAGGGCAGCTCACATGCCTGCAAATCAGACCTCCTTGACAGCATTCTCCCCTGACCTTCATGGGGAGTATTTACTTATGTGTTCTCACTATATTCAGCAGTCCTAAGAGCTAGGGTACGTGTTGTATGTACAGCAAGCTTTTTTCAGGGGGGGTTTTCTGTTTTTATCATGCAGTGCTGAGATTCAATTGCAGTTAATCTTAAGAATTTGAGTATACAGAGAGTCATGGAGTGTCTCAGTTCTTACAACAGTCTTGTGAGTTAGGTTAGTATCACTCTACAGCAAATGAGAGGAGGATGAGATGGAGAGAAGAGTGGCAAGCCTTCTTTATCAGAGCTCCCTCTCCTAGCTTTTACAAAGCTATCAGCTAATATAGAAATAACCCTAATGAATTCCAAGGGAGTAAGTAAGGTGACTTACTGGCACCACCAGAAGTATACAGACTGTAGCCACCATTGTCCTTTGAGATCAGGATAACATTCTCTTTCCCCCTTAGGGTAAACTCATGATTTACTTTTTTAAAAAAATGCTATAGTGAGCGTCTTTTACTTATAGTACCCGTCTTTTTGACCACAAAGCTGAAGTGCCTGCTCTTGAGGTCTGTTGGAGCCAGTTTGGTGTAGTGGTTAAGTGCGCGGACTCTAATCTGGGAGAAACGGGTTTGATTCCCCACTCCTCCACTTGCACCTGCTGGATGACCTTGGGCAAGCCATAGTTCTGACAAGAGCTGTTCTTGAACAAGAGCAGTTTCTGTCAAGAGCTCTCTCAGCCCCAACTACCTCACAGGGTGTCTGTTGTGGGGAGGGGAAGGGAAAGGAGTTTGTAAGCCGCTCTGAGACGCCAAGTGAAGGGCGGGATATAGATCCAATCTTCTCCTCCTCCTCCTCCTCTTCTTCTGTTACTGCTTTTGATTATATATAAAAACCTACAGTTGAATGTTGAATTCTGAAAACAATAGATGGAGGAGTCTTTGCCATCACTGTATGTAGTGTTTGCACTTGCTTGCAAGAGGAGCCGCTGAACACTGAAGCATCTGGAGCGGCTCATGTAAAATGTGGGATCCCTTTGTAAATCACGAGGCTCTGTGAAGCGCTCCAGACTGCTTGTTGCATTTGCCTTGGATCGTTTGAAAAGAGATCTTTCACAGATCATCCAATAGGACGTGCCTTCTTAACAGGGAGCTGTGGGGAGGTCATTAAATATGCTCTGCTGGAACAGCCTTCAATAACAACTGGGACTTGGGGATTTGTGTCTGTTTTTTGATAGTACTGCTTTCCTTGGGTGTGGGTTTCTCTCCCTCCCCCCTTCCCTTTTCCAGGAATAATTATAGACAAAGATGCGGCTGAATGAAGTTCTTTCTCAGGCTGGCTGAATATCATGACTCCTCCTCTGGCCTGGGGTATTCTGTTTTGTATCTTGGTGCAACACCTTTGGTCGTTAGCCCAATAAGAAAGAAGACGAAAGACTGAATAGGAGTCTCCTTTTTTGCAAGTGAAGGAGAATTTGGGTCTTGTTCATGTATTTTCCACTGTCTTTCTGAATAGTCCTGTTGTAAAACGAAGCCTGTTCGATGTCACTGTGTGTGTGTGTGTGTACATATACATACACTGTGATATATATATATCTTTGTAGGCAAGGGTCAGCATAAAGTGGGTCAGCATGAAGTGTGGGCAAAGATCAGCGATTAGGCACGCCGGTCCTGACTTCTAGCCCATATTTCCAGACTCTGTAAACATCTGGATGGATCAGTAACTCTGCTCAATCCAGTGTCTTGACCTTCGCACATCCTGCACATATGGACATGTTAAAGAAGGTAGCTTGTTAATCATTGTACCAATGTAAGCATCCCTAAGACAATTTCCCTAAAAGTGTCTGTTTCCTCTGGTTTCGGTACGTGAGCTCTGACCTCTTTCACAGTGAAAGTGAACAGACACATAAAACTCTATTGGGGTTACTTGTTCAAGTAGCATAAAACACCAGGCAACTTTTCTGCTGTGGGATCTCGTGCTGGTTAATCACACATGTAAAACTCTCTGCATGGATGTCATGAACCTATTTCCAGATCTCCAGAGAGACCCAGGACACTGCTGGTGCCGTATAAACATTTGCTCTGTGTTCAGATCCGATTTCTGCACTTCCCTTGTATCCCTTTGGGAAGGAACCCTCTGTGGCTGTGAGCCTTCCCCTTTCTGAAGCAGCCTGCCTCACTTGCCCGAAATCCTCTCCGGTGATCGGAAAAGAACCTTTAACGGGAAGGAGGGTCGGAGTATATACTCTAGTCCTGGATTCAGCCACACCCAAGAGATGAGGGGGCTAGTTACCCAAACACGCCATGGTGTCAGGATGGCAGCGGCATGAGAATCGCAAGTATGGCTGCTACAGTTGCCCTTTTTGCCACGGACTCTTCCCTTTTGGCAGGGAAGGCAGCAGTTGTACGAGTACCCTGTACTCCAGAGATTCTTTCTCCAGGCCCTGCAGCTCTTGCAGAGAGGCTGAAGGAACCTTATGAGGTATAGTTACCCACAGAGTTCCACTTCTTGTTTTTCAGGGGCTTTTTCAGAAGGACAGATGCCACAGATTGAGAGAAGGCAAAGTAGGGAAGGACGTATCTCCTCATCGGAGACAGCCATGATCTAACCAAGGGCTGGCTCTGCCTGTGGAGGTTAATGGTTTTCATTGATCAGTTAGTGATGGCAGATGAAAGGAAAAGGGGTATTGATCCCATAACTGCAGCAATAAGAGAATAGCTTTTCTCCTCTCGGTTGGTAGGAATTCCCCGCTGAGTATATGCTCTACTTTAAAAAAAGAAGAAAGAAATTAAATTTCTGTGCCAAGATTGCCTAGAATCGAGAGCCAGTTTGGTGTAGTGGTTAAGTGTGCGGACTCTAATCTGGGAGAACCAGGTTTGATTCCCCAGTCCTCCACTTGCACCTGCTGATGTGACCTTGGGTCAGTCACAAGCTCTGGCACAGCTGTTCCTGAAAGAGCAGTTTGTGTCAGAGTTCTCTCAGCCCCACCTACCTCACAAGGGGTCTGTTGTGGGGAGGGGAAGGGAAAGGAGTTTGTAAGCTGCTCTGAGACTCCAAGTGAAGGGTGGGGTATAAATCCAATCTCTTCTTCTTCTAGAATCTGCCCCAAGAATTCTGCTTTTATACATTTTATGCATATTGAATGTATTACATGTAGATCTGCTTTCATACATGGTCATGGGGAAGGACAAAGAAACGCTCACCATTGGAAAGCTTTCCCCATTTCTAGCTTCCGAGCAGTCACCAGCCATTGATCCTACACATTTATCAAGGTTGTAGTGTTTGTGTGTTGGCCCAACTGATGCCCTTGTCCAGCCATCCCTGAGGCTTCTGCCAACCACGCAAGACTGCTTGCATGACACTTGGACTAGATTCGGACATCCCTAAAACTCTGGCTGTTCATAACGTCCATCTGAAGGCAGGCTGAGACTCTCCGTTTGTTAAAGCACCGCAAATTTATTTATTTATTATTTATTTATTTATCCTTTGGATTAGTATCACGCCCTCCCCAAAGGCTCAGGGCGGCTAACAAGGGCGAATGCCAGATTGTAACAATAAAAACAATATAAATACAGTAAATACAGAATACTACAGTTAATTAAAATTAGTAAAAAATAAAATGTCGGTGCTCCAAATCTCAACTCGAAATCTCAACTCCAAATCTCAACTTGAAACTGGAATGAAGATCCCAGCATTGGCAAGTCCTCAACACTGCTTCTGCGTCCAAAGGCACGAAGGAGGGGGAGCGTGAACCAGGTTGATTCTTGTCGTGACCAAGCAGGAGCGTGCTCATATTGCACTGGATTCAGGTGGACAAGTTCTCAGGAGGATTTGGTGGAGCGGGCCTTTCCCCACCTTCCCCTGTCTGAAGCAGCCTGCCTCACCTCCCTGAACTCCTCTCTGGTGATTGGGAGAACCTTCCAAGCAAAATGTTCTGTGGGTCTGGGCACTGTAGCAATGACAGGAAATCAGGTAAACTTGCCACCATTTCCCTTCTCCACCACTGGAAGCAAAAGCTGGGGGAGAGGCAGGTTTCCTTCACTGACCACCTTGTCACTGTATCCTGGGCACACTTGGCATGCAAGCCTTTCCCGATTTCCCCAGGGAGGAGTTTCAAGGGACATGCAGGTTGCTTGGAGATGGCGAAGGTAGGGAAGATCTCCAGTTCGTTCTGTGAATCCTTCCACTGGATCCAGCCCATTGCCTAAACACTGCCTGGGAAAAGGCAGGGCTCGGTGCTGCTCGCTGAACAAAGATCATAGCTGCCGTTTCTGACCTGTGGTTTGAACTTGTGAAGCTGCTTTATATTGAATCAGGCCTTTGGTCCCTCACAGTGAATGTTGTCTGCTCAAGCTAGTAGCAGCTCTCCAGGGTCTTGGGCAGAAAGTTTGTCCTTTGGGACATGGCTTTAAGGGATATGGTATTTATTTATTTTAAATGAAAGCTTGTTTGGGGGTATTTCTCTTTCTCTGAGTTCTGCATGTGTACAAGCTCTGGGTGATTTTGTTCTGCTAACTGCACTGGTTGTTTTTAAGTATACAGAACTTCCTTGCCGTATGCAGACTGGTTGAGCAAGCTCTGTATTGCTACCCTTGTAAGGAGAATGACCCCCACTGAACGGAGAGGCCTGGAAAAGATATAGCAGTGTCTGACTGTAGATGGAAACGTTGCCTAAAGTTGCAGTTGCACATCCCCCTTTTCTCTTGCTCTTGTTGACTGTCTGCTGGTGCCTCTGTTTCAGCCACAGCCTGGAAATCTGCCACTGGCCTGAGGGGTTTTCCGTGGGCTCATTTTTTCCCTCCAAACAGCACATGGCTAAGACAGTTCAAGAGAGGGAAAACCCCTGTTGACATGTTGGGGCTGCGTTTCCCACTCTGCCCGCTGTGGGCTGCTGGCCCTTGAAAGCCGAGTAAGGCTGTTGGCATTTTGGCTGTGTCATCTGCAACTGCTTCCTGTGGGCTCTCAGGTCGACAGGAAATGGCAGCTAGGAGCAGGCCTCTGTGCTCAGCCTCTCGTTTCTTTGGGAGGTGGGATGAGGGAGCAGAGAAGGGGGGGAAAACAAAAGTTGAGCACGGTGTCCGCGTGGAAGATAGTTGTGAAAATGTGTTTCCAGTTTCTGACTCCCAAATCAACATGTGTGGGCAATCTCTTCCATTCTCCATCCTCTGTTCTTGTAAGGAGAAGCGAACAAGCTTGGCTCATTTATTCTCAAGTGTGTGTGTGTGTGGGGGGGGAATTCTGTGGGGAAGGAGCACATGAGCTCTGTGCCCCATTCCAGCGGGAATCCTGAGGGACGGTGGGAAATGACATCCAAAACAGCCCATAAAGCTCCTCGGTGTCATCTAGGGCATCCAGTTTATGGGAACCCCTTATGGGACTGTCAGAGCAGGAGATGAGCAGAAGTGGTTGCCATCAGTGTTCCCTCTAAGCTGAGTTAGTGTGAGCTAGCTCACCGTTTTTTAGCCTCCGGCTCACACATTTTTGTCTCAGCTCAGGAAGGAGGGCTCCAGAGGAAAGTCATTTATGCAGCAGCCAGATTGCTCGCTCACCACTTTCATGCCAGTGGCTCACAAAGTAGAATTTTTGCTCACAAGACTCCACAGCTTAGAGGGAACATTGGTTGCCATTGCCTTCCTCCACATGGTAACCCTGGTCTTTCTTGGTGGTCTCCCATCTAAGCCCTAACCCTGGCTGACCCTGCTTAGCTTCCAAGCTCTGGTGAGCTCAGGCTAGTCCGGGTTGTTCAGGCTGCAGAATTTTACCACGTGATTTATTTATTTATTTATTCTTTAGATTTGTATCCCGCCCTCCCCGAAGGCTCAGGGCGGCTAACAAGGGCATAAATGCCTAATAAAACAATAAGAACAATATAAAAATGCAATATAATATACAACATAATACAATCAATAAAATATCAGTGCTCCACTACTTGCTCCAATTTATAAATCAAGATGGTGTTCTGCAGCTGTATATCAATCCGATGACCATATATATGTCCCCGCAGCCCTATCATCCGCCAGGTACGTCTCGCACCCCCGATGGTACCCGCACCAGCGGTGGTAAGGGTGCGGTGATGGGAAAAGCGTTGATGGAATAATGGTGGCGTTTGGATTTGGAGTCCTGATGGTTTGTTTGCTACCACTGCATTGAGCAGAATCGGAAGCAGGTGTGTCTTCCTCTCGTGGAAGAACCACTTAGGTTGGAAGAAGGTTCCATTGGCTGTAGGAACTTCCTCCTTTCTAAGGCAAGATAATGCCCAATGGTTTTTATGCAGGTATAAAGTAAGAATGTATTTAAAAAAGGGCTCGCCAAGTAAGAATTGATCATGGCAATGTTGTGTTTGTAAAAAAAAAAAAAAAAAAGGACGCAACTGTGTGATGTGGTAGCAAGCCCTGATTTGTGCGTGTGTTGCTACCTCTAACCTGTGCGGTCCATAATTCTTGGGGGGCCTTTTGCTATCAATGAGATGTGTGCAGGTTACAGCGAAAGCTTTACAGGTTTCTCCGTCAGTTTGGTTGCCCATGTGGAGCTGCTTCTCAATCTGTAGCATCTGCTTTTAGTGTCCTGCAAAGAGTTTGTGGCAAATATCTGTCGTCATTAAGTTGGAAATGAGCCTGTCAGCCAAGATTCCCTTCTTGCAGCCATTCTTCTTGTTGGGAGGCTGAAAGCGGTGTTGGGGACACATTAGTATTCTTCCGCCTCTTGCCTTTTGGAGTCGGAGCAAATGTGCTTTTTCTTGATGGAAAAAAATAACATCAAAGCCAGATAGAAGACCAGCTAGTTCAGAACACAAGGTTAATTAAAGTAGTAACGGGAGAACTTCCTTTTCTTTAGGTGAAGCTCTTTAAATTCAGAATGTAATGCGAGCTAAAATATCCTATGCATTTTTATTGCACTGCTGCTAGATGTGCCTAAGGGGACAAGTAGTACAAGATGCCACAGCCATGTTCAGTACTGTCACACCGTCTTTAGGCTGAATCTTTTTGGTGTGTGTCTTTATAGCAAAGCAAATTTTTGGCAGCTCTGGCCAGCGTGTATATGCTGTCGGGACCACGCCCCCCCAATCTGTTTTGCAGAGAAAAGAAGAACAATGTACAGATAAGAGCCAGTTTGGTGTAGTGGTTAAGTGCGTGGACTCTGATCTGGGAGAACCGGGTTTGATTCCCCACTCCTCCACTTGCACCTGCTGATGTGACCTTGGGCCAGCCATAGTTCTGTCGGAGCTGTTCTTGAAAAAGAGCAGTTTCTGTCAGCTCTCTCTGCCCCACCTACCTCACAGGGTGTCTGTTGTGGGGAGGGGAAGGGAAAGGAGATTGTAAGGTGCTCTGAGACTCCTTTGGGTAGTGAAGGGTGGGGTATAAATCCAATCTCCTCCTCCTCCTCCTCCTCCTCCTCCTCCTCCTCCTCCTATTGTAAGGTGCTCCGAGACTCCTTTGGGTAGTGAAGGGTGGGGTATAAACTCCTCCTCCTCCTCCTCCTCCTCCTCTGTGTTGTCTACCCCCAGGTTATTTTGACTCAGACACTTGCTTTGGATGACCAATCTGTTTCAGGGCTATGTATGGTGGGAGAGCAGTGTGGGTTAATGGTTACTTTAGGCCCTATATACATGAAAGGGTAATTAATCAGTATGGTTTTGAGATTATATTTGGATCACCGGGCATGTTGCCTTTTCATGGTGCATTTCGTGTGTGCGTGGTCAAGGTAAATGCAGCAACCAGCTCTGGGTTGGGAAATACCTGGAGCTTTTGGGATTGGAGCCTGGAGAGGGTGGGGTTTGGGGAGGGGAGGGGAGGGAACCCAGCAGGATATAATGCCATAGTCGCGGTGGCTCAGAGGTTAAGACGCTGAGCTGCAGACCGGAAGGTCTGTAATTTGGCAGTTCGAGACCCGAGTTGCCGCGTGACGGAGTGAGCTCCCGTCTCTGGCCCCAGCTCCTGCCAACCTAGCAGTTCGAAAGCTAGAAATTGCAAGTAGGTAAATAGGTACCACTTAGGTGAGAAGGTAACAGCGTTCCATGCGCCTCGGCGTTTAGTCATGCTGGCCACATGGCCCCGGAAACGTCTTTGGACAGCGCTGGCTCTTCGTCCTGGAAACGGAGATGAGCACCGCCCCCTCCGAGTCGGATTCAAGTAGCTTTCGAGCAAGGGAAACCTTTACCTTTACCTAGAACCGATCCTCCAAAGCAGCTGTTTTGTTCAGGGGAAGTGATCTTGGTTGTCTGGAGATCAGCTGTAATGGCGGGAGATCTCCAGGTGCCCCCCAGAGGTGAGCAACCCGAAGCATCCACCACATGGATGTTTAGGCCTAGGGGCTGAACATGATGCGCACCTAAGGCATGCTTTCCCACTGCCCGTAGCTTCTATGCATACAAAGCCTTTTCTAATTTTTCTATTTTCTGCAACTGATTCCTTTTTAAAGTTCCCATCCTTGAGATGACTGTTGTGATTTGCGCAGTTCCTTTATCTCTAGTCAGAAAAATTGTTTGTCATCTGTTGCCTAACACAAGTTCTTCTGCATTGGTCTACGAATGCTGAAGCTCATTAGAAGAAGCTAAATTTGATAACAGCGATGGTGTGGCTGAGAGTGTTGTCTATCTGCCCTGCACTCTGAACGATGGATTTCTGAGGTGGAATGTAATTGTTGTGCCTTACTGATAATCTGCTTTTTCCTCAACTGACTAGCATGTATATTTTGATGCATGTTGTAGATGCAGTAGCAAAACAACAACCACTGAAAAATGGTCTGGGACAAAAGCAAATCCTGTTTAGGTTAATAACCAGGCTTTAATGACTTTTGATGCTGTTTCTTTTTAACTGCAGACCCTGCATCCTGGAAACATTCAAGGCACCTTTCTAAAGGTTTCCCATTCACTTCCTTTCTCCCTGCACAGAATCTGCATGTTCATGGTATTCTAAGCACTAGCATTTCATGCCACTTTTATTCCCGCCTGCTGGCTTACGCGCACATTTACACGCTGGCTGCTGGGCTGAGTAGCTGTTGCTTTGGTGGGCCTGCTGGCTTGCGTTGAAGCCTCCTCCTCCTCCTCCTCCTAGCTTTTGTGTCAGATTAGAACGCAATGCGGAGATTTTACTACTTCTTTTTCTCCCCTCCCCATTATTGTGCTGTAGCTCTTTGTCATAGCTTTCCTTGCTCTTTTGTTACTCCATTCCACATTTAAGCCAGTGGCTGCAGAAGCCTCTTGGAAACAACAGAACAAAGAGGGTGATGGGTTTCAAAGAAGTGGTCTTGCTTAAAAATAGTGATTTGAATTGGACTGTATTTAGTTTGTAGGACTGTCTTTAGTTGAAGCAGGTAATGTTTGAAGGCCTGCAGTTAGAAATATAGCGTTTTCTGAGAGCCAGCCTGGTGTAGTGGTAGGGAGCGTTGGACTTTAATCTGGAGAACCGGGTTTGATTCCCCACTCCTCCACATAAAGCCGGCTGGGTGACCTTGGGTCAGTCACAGTTCTCTCAGAGCTCTCAGACCAGCCTACCTCACAGGGTGTCTGTTGAGGGGAGAGGAAGAGAAGGCAGTTGTAAGCCACTCCGAGACCCCTTTGGGTAGGGAAGAGTGGGGTATAAAGCCAAGTGTTCTTCTTAATACCTTAAGTGGTGGATCAGAGACAGACTGCAGGTGGTCCTTTTTCTGCAGGAGGAACGGTGTGTCCTGTTTTTCAGCACTTCTGTCATCTGTTCTCCTGATATTTTTCCTTACCATGGTTGGGATGAGATGGGGAGTCTGTAGGGGAAAAGGGATTGCGTCAGTGTATCTCTCCAACCCACAGAACTGCCGCTTATCCAGCAGTGGCACCATAAAAGTGCTTGGTCTTGGAACCAACTTGCAATGGCTGTCAAGCTCTTTCAATGGAACATGAAGTTGTAGTTTCGTAGTTGGAGATCCTCCTTGCAGGTCTCTTCTCCCCCCCCCCCCCCCCCCCCCTCAGGAAATTACCCGTGCTGCCCAATCAGAGCACCACTAGCACATGGGGTATCTCTAGACAACATCTATGCTGCATACTTGCTTCTCCTGAAAAAGATCTCCTCATGCCAGCAAAGGGTTAAAGTGTGAGTCATAATGTTCTAGGAGAGGGAAACCCAAATCCCCAAAAGCTGACATGGTGGGCAAAATTCAGTTTACTGTGGAAGCTGGTTTGAAGGGCATGAAGTTCCTTCACCCAGTACACTTGGGTTTTCTCTGAATCTCACCCTGTGTGTTCAGAGTCGTATTCACTCTTCGGAGACTTATATCAGCACAACATTTGATATATATAATAATACTTGGCATTTGGTAAAATGCAGTCATATATTCAGATCATCTGTCTGATGAAGGGAGCTTTGTCTCTCAAAAGCTTATCCCCCCCCCCCCAAAAAAAAATCTCATTGGTCTCTAAAATGCTACTGGGCTCAAATTTACTTGTTCTGCTATAGTCCGACATGGCTACCCTCTGAAACTATCTTCAGAGCACTTTGTGTAAGACAGGTGTGTTATTGTCCCCGTATTTCAGATGAGGGAGGGCTTGCTTAAGGTTGGCTACTGAGTTTGCAGCTCAGTTGTGGTACCCCAGAAGGATCTTGCTAAAAAACCCATTATCTTTGACTTGTGACAAGAGCATTCTGGGGAACAAACGTACAATGCAGTTGCCCTTGTGTTAGAAGAGCAGAGCATTCTGGGAAACAAACGCACAATGCGGTTGCTCTTGTATTATAAAACCAGTAAGGCACAATGTCCCTGATCTAGCTAAAATTAGCCATGGCTTAATCGCTTTTGAAAGCCTGAGTTAATCATGGTTAAATGTGTTACCATTGGTTTTGGTAAGACTTAATCGTGACTAAATGGGGCTGGATTGGGGTCAGCGTGCGTACATTAGATACATCATGTAGACAGTGATCAAAAATCAGGATTAAAACTGATAAGTGTAATAAAAATGTGAGCCACGGTTTTAGGAGTCAGGGAGTCATTGGTGTGAGCAGACATAAACAGCAAAGTGACGTTTTAAGTTCTGAAAAAGGATAAACGGGCTAATTTGGCTAAAGTTGCACAAACCCTTGTTTCGAGTTTTTCACCATGCAAGTTGAGCAAAGGGGTGGTGGGGAGCTCAATCAGGAAATTATACCTGAAACTGAGAATATTGGCTTTATTTTCCTTACTTCTCCCGTCTCTTTCCAGGGGTTGATGCAGAAGAATGGGGGAAATTTCTCCACACCAAAAACAAGGTATGTTTTTGTTGTAAAACATGCGTAACCAAAGGGGTGTGAGATTTCAAATGCTGATTGCAGGCCTCGGCAGGGAGGGTGGGATACAAATCAAACAAATAAAAAAATGAATAAATAAATAAATATGATGTTACAATGCCTCATACTGAATCAGTCCCTTGGTCCATCAAAGTCAGTGTTGTCTACTCAGACTGGCAATAGCTTTCCAGGGCTGAGGTCAACTGGAGTTGCTGGGGATTGAACCTGCGACCTTCTGCATGCCAAGCAAATGCTCTGCCAGTGAGCTACAGCCTCGGTCATAATTAGCAGAAACTGGGGGGGGGGTCATTGTCATCTGCAGCTGGTCACAAACCCTGGTTAGGCTACTTGGATGTAATGCCTAATTTGATACTAAAGGTTTCTTAACCCTGGTTTGTTGTTGCTGTGGGACAGAACCTGTAAATTTACAACTACTGTCCTTCAGGTTCTTCCTGAACTCGTTACAACGAACCATGTAACAGAGAATGCTTCCATTTTTAGAGCAACCTTTGGATAAAAGAGATTTGAAAAATCCTTTTTGTTGTCGATATCTACTTGTTGAGTGTGTAAATGTGCCTGGCTCTTATGACACGATCTTCAAAGGGTCTCACGGTATAATATTTGGAAGGAGCGCCCTTGATGTGTTCCCATGTTGCACCTCGATAGTCAACCGAGATGCTTAAAAAGAGGTATAGTTGACTCAATAAGCACATGTTGTGGCAAATGAAACTTTTAACTTGCGTGCTTTTGCATGCATGACATGTTAAAAACTGGAGTAAATGTACGCTTTCCCTCTGTACACATGTGCAATGAAACCCCCATAATCCCAGTCAGCCTCCATCACAAGTTCCTATTGTCAGAACGCAGACGCAAACAAGGTGGTGCCTGGGGTCTAGATCTGTGTGCTGAGTGGCCGTGCTCTGAGCCCAAGCGGCTTGGGTGGAAGCGCACTTTTAGTGCAGAAAATCAAGATGCCTCCAGGGAATCTCTTCAGCATGCGGAAACCTTTGTCATGCTGCTAAAATGGGGGTGTTCAGAGCTTGTGCTTCTGAACTGACTTATTTGGCATATTTCCTATCCTGCTTTTCTGACCAGTGGTAACCCCAAAGCAGTTTACAAAATAATTACAGAATCAGTTAATTTAAACAGTGTAAAGAAAAAAGCAGAAAACAAAGAAGTACCCAAAACATCCTGGGGTGCTTTGGCATTCATTGGGCTGGTCCATCGAGGTCAGAGGCTTCGAGCAACGAGCTAGGAGCCCTTGGCTCTCTTGCACTTCAGCTTGTACCTCTGGCCTTGCCCAGGGTTTAAATACCTGCAACAGGAAGGGGGGGGGGGAGACACACAATCATTGTACAAACAGCTGGCAGCCATCTTCCCACAATTCCCTTTTGTCCCCCCCCCCCCCCCCCGGTATGTGCAACTTCCACAGGCACACAGCTGTTTGCTCTGCTCACCTGCCTCTTGGCGCTGAGCCCCAGGCACCTGCAGTTCTCAGGCCGCTCGAGGTGACTTGGGCAATGGGGCCGAGCCACACAGCACCAAAGGCGTTCAGCTTCTCCTCTTTCAATTTCAGCTGTACACCGACTTTGATGAAATTAGGCAAGAAATAGAGAATGAAACTGAAAGGATTTCAGGAATCAATAAGGTGAGTGTCCATCATGCTGCTTGCTTCAAACAGGAATGATTATTTGAACTAAGCATCTAGGAAACAGTTCTTCTGTTGCCGGGTCGAAGTGGAACCACAACTGCCTGGTCCCCACTTCCCCCGTTCAGACGAGGCATCGCGTATTGTGTTGATTCTGCTTGCTTTGTGTCATCTGTCCAAAAGTGTTGCGTCGTTGCCTCAGTGAAAAAATTGACTAGGATTGCCTGCATGTTTAGATAAATTAGCTGAGATGCAGGGGAACATAAGAACATAAGATACGCCAATGTTGGATCAGGCCAAAGGCCCATCCAGTCCAACACTCTGTGTCACACAGTGGCCAGAAATATCAGGTGCCATCAGGAGGTCCACCAGTGGGGCCAGGACACTAGAAGCCCTCCCACTGTTGCCCCCCCCCCCAGCACCAAGAAGACAGAGCATCACTTGCCCCAGAGCCCCTATCTATACCTTGTGGCTAATAGCCATTGATGGACCTCTGCTCCATATGCTTATCTAATTCCCTTTTGAAGCCGTCCATGCTTGTAGCCGCCACCACTTCCTGTGGCAGTGAATTCCAAGTGTTAATAAGTTCAGCTGCGAACTCCTGAACGAAGCAAGAAGCTAAGGTCACACTGGCACATTAGGATGTTCCCAGTGTCACGAGCTGCCTTTTCAGGTGGGGTTGTCAAAAAAGGGCAGGGCTGGAAACCAGAGGCCAGGGGTTTTTTTACGATCTGCCAACCAACATCATCTAGTAGTCCCCAGTCCCAGGGATGTTCGTCTTGCCTTGACTAAGTCCAGGGCTTTTTCAGCACTGCCCCCTGCCTGGTGGAATGAGCTCCCACGTGCGATCAGGGCCCTGAGAGTCCTTTTACAGTTCCACGGGGCCTGCAAGATGGAGCTCTTCTGCCAGGCTTCTAGTTGAGGTGGCGGCTGTCTCTCCCCCCCCCCCCCCCGGGCCTCCCTCTCGGTGGGTCAGATCTGTATTACCATCCAGGAACCCAAATGCGAAATAGACTGACCAGAAACTTTATCATAGGAATTTTACTGTATTTTATTCAGGTTTTTAATTGTTTTTAATTCTTTGTATATTGCATATTGTTTACCGCATCTGATGGAACCTGCCCTGAGCCTGCTATGCAGGGAGGGCAGGATACAAATAGAATACATAAACTATAGTGCAGTGGATATATTTTTCCTGAAGGTTGCAGCTGAGCAAACAAATTTGGTAGTAATGATGACTTTCCCCCCTCCCTCCATGAATTTCTAGGGGATCAGCCCTGAGCCTATCCACCTAAAGATTTTTTCGCCAAATGTCGTCAACTTGACTCTGGTAGATTTGCCAGGGATGACAAAGGTAAGAGGGAATTAATGTTGTCACGCAGTTTTGAGAAAGTTCTGCTCTGTTATCGATCAAAATGTGCACAAGACGGCCATATGTGCCAAGTTGTTGAGGTTCCCAGATGTTTCTTGCCAAGATTTCCTATTCTCCATCCCCAACTATTTGATCTATCCCGGTGTTCTCTGCCCCACTTGTGGGGGGTAATACTGCGTTCTTGTTGCCTCTTGCGTGTTCCCGTATGAGGTATAGCATCACAGACCTGGCTGGAGAGCTAAGCGGCTGCAGTTCTTTCATGTCACCTCTGTCCTTCTGGTTTCTTTCTTGGCTTCCTGTTCTCCTTCTCCTCCCGGGATAGACCTGTCAGATTGTATAGATAGTTCTTAAAAGAAGCACTTAAAGAAGCAAGTCATCAGACGCGTTCCACTCTACTTGTGACTGTTTTCTCTTAGGTACCGGTGGGTGACCAGCCAAAGGATATTGAGCTCCAGATCCGGGAACTAATCCTCCGATTCATTAGTAACCCCAATTCAATCATTTTAGCCGTCACCGCTGCCAACACAGACATGGCCACTTCTGAGGCTCTCAAAATAGCACGGGAGGTGGATCCAGATGGTAAGTAGGGGAAGGAAAAAAAATGTAACTAAACTGTAATCTGGAGAACCGGGTTTCCACACTCCTCCACATGTAGCCAGCTGGGTGAACTTGGGTCAGTCACAGTTCTCTCAGAGCGGTTATCTCAAGAGCTGCCTCAGCCCCACCTACCTCACAGGGTGTCTGTTGTGGGAGGGGAAGGTAAGCTGCTCTGAGACTCCAGATGAAGGGCGGGGTATAAATCCAACTCTTCTTCTAACGAAAACAACAGACACATGTGGGTTACCCTCCAAAGGCCAACATAAGCAATTTGGCCTTGCATGCTCTGCGAAAACTAAACAAGTCCAGCAGGGCACGGGTGTCATCTGAGAGTGCATTCCACAGGGTAGGGGCCACAACTGAGAAGGCCCTTCCCCTGGTGGCAGCTAACTGAGCATTCCTGGGTCCCCTGCAAGAGGCTCCTAGAGGATGACTGAAGGGAGCGTGGGAGGTTGTAATGGGAGAGGTTGTTCCATAGGTATGAGGGTACCATACCTTTAAGGGCTTTAAAGGTTAACACCAACACCTTGAATTGGATCCGGAGACTAATTGGCAGCCAGGGCAGCTGCTGCAGACTTGGAGTGATATGAGCTGACCATAATGTTCCAGTCAGGAACCACAGTCAGCAAATGTGCAGAGAATTATAGAAAACACGACTGTGAAAGAAAGCGCAGAAAACAACAAAAGATTCCTTCCAAATAAAGTGCAATCATTACCTACTTATTTCAATATAAATGTGATTATTTCTTAACAAAACTATTCATCCGATACAAAACATATCTCTCTCTATAATAATTCTGTTTTGGTCGTGGGCTCTCCTGAACTCTTTGTGTTTGTACATCGCCAGCCGCAGAAAAACATTAAAATATCCTGTGATGGAAGAAATGTGCAAACACCACATAGAAGCTGCTGTATACCTGAGAATGAGTAGGGTTGAAATGGCCGGTTCCCCTTTTCTTGCAAGGCCTAGTTCAGCGGGCAACTTTTCACCTTCTTCCTCCTCCTTCTTTTTTTTTTTTTTTTTTTTTAACTTTTTGGGTAGCTGCTTCCTAGGCTTGACAAGTTAATGCATGACCAGCTTAATGTAAAATGACAGTTTTCCTGCCGCTCTGATAGGGCGGCGCACCCTTGCGGTTATCACCAAGCTGGATCTGATGGATGCTGGTACCGATGCGATGGATGTACTTATGGGGAGAGTGATACCTGTTAAACTTGGCATCATTGGCGTGGTGAATAGGTGAGTACGGGGGCAGCCAGAGATCATGGGTGTTTTAAGACAGGGGTGTCAGACATAAGGCCCGGGGGCCAGAACCGGCCCATCCAGGGCTCTTATGTGGCCCACAAGCAACTAGTGCAAGGGAAGGGACAGGGGACTGCTCGGGGGCAGTGGGCAGAGCCACTGCAATTGTGGCTTCAGCATGGCAGGACAACCTCGTCCGCAGCAGTCAGGCAGCATGGCAGCGTCTGCCCAGTGCTGCAATGCTGGCTCTCCAGTGTCTGTCCACGTGGCTTTTCCTTTGCACCCCCCTCCCAGCCTATGGGGCCTTGCAGTGAGGATACACCAACTCAGAACTTATTAGCTGCTGTTCTTTATACAGTTTATATCTCTGGTACCTGGCATTACATTTATGGCACACATGGCCCGGCCTGACAAAATGACGTTTATGTCAGATCCGGCCCTCATAACAAATGAGTTCAACACTTCTGTTTTAAAACATTCCTTTTGCTGCAGGACAGCTGTTAGTTCATTCCCATTGTTCTGCAGAAGGGAACAGGACCGCTGCGGTTGCTATGTAATAGAAGCTTTTGATTCTCCAACATTTGGGCCTATTCCTAGATAACTGGTATTCCATGGCTAGTATGATTACGTGACGGGCCACATCTCAGTGGTAGAGCATGTACTTGATATGGAGAAGGTCCCAGGTTCAGTCCCCAGTGTCTCCACTTAAAAGAATCAGATAGATGGGACGTCCATTAGAGTGGTTTATTTTGGCCTTGGTAGACCAATGGTCTGATGCAGTAAAAGGCAGCTAGCACCATTTGTCAGTTGAAAGGTGTAGTTGGCTACCCATGAAGGCGGCAGAAGGTAAGACTGGCAGGAGGAGTTGAAGGGGTTAATAATTTCCTGAAGACAAAAGAGGAAGCATAATAGAAAATGCTTAATTTTAATTGCACTATACTTTGATAACTTTCTCTCTAACTTCAGGAGTCAATTAGATATTAACAATAAGAAGAGTGTGGCTGATTCGATTCGCGATGAGTATGCTTTTCTCCAGAAGAAGTATCCCTCTTTAGCCAACCGGAATGGAACAAAGTACCTCGCAAGGACGCTCAATAGGTATGAGGAATGGCTGTGATCCTGAACTTCAAGTTCAGGTTTTTTTCCAACTGGGTCTGTCTGTCTTTTTCTGGCCCACCCCAATTGTATGCCATTCTCTGTCCCTATTGGTGATACAGGTAGGTTTGAAAATAATCAGGGGATGTGTTGTGGGATGCTCAAAGCAATAGCTGTACAGTGCTTTTTTAAAAAAAATTGTCACCTGCACATGAGTAAATAATGTCCCCTGAGTACAGCCAGTTTTCTTTCTGTAAACAGAAAAAGAACCTGGTGCAGAAAACAACCTCGGAATGATTACATTTCTATTTTTTACTGAGATTCCAAAAGGTTCTAAGGGACAGATGAGTGGCCATCTCCCAGCTGTGGCATTTATTGTTCAGTGTTGAGTCTCATTTGGAAATTGCAGTGGGGCAGCCGTGTTCATCTATCATAGTAAAATAAAACAAATGTCCAGTGGCACTTTAAAGACATTAATCTTGATTTCAATATGAGCTTTTCAGGAGTCACAGCCTTTCTCACCACTTTCTCACACAGATGGAAAATCATGTTGGGGAGTTTTTCTTTTTTTTTAATAATACTTTTTATTGGATTTTCACCATAATGCATAATCACCAAAATTCATAGTATAAATATTACTTAATTATTCATACTTCACATCTTTTATGTACAACAACATACCAACCCCAGATTCAACTGCTTTTCTTGTATGCAATCATATAATATTAGCACACACATCCAATAACAGTAATTTCCAAAATTCTCCTACTTCTTTCTTTCTCATTTTTATAAACATTATTTTATTCTTCCTCATCTCACTCTTTATTTCCTTGGAATAAGAGATTAAATAACTTAGTTTCAGCATCTGTAAAGTCGTCTTTACTAACTATATATTACAAGGGGGTGACCCGCGATACTCGCGGGGGGGCAGTCTCTCTTCCCCCCGTTCTCTCTCTTCCCCCGTTCTCTCTCTTCCCCCCAGTCTCTCTCTCTCTGTCTCTCTCTCCCCCTTCTCTCTCTTCCTCCCCAGTGTCTCCCCCCCTTCTCTCTCTTCTCCCCCAGTCTCTCTCCCCCCCTTCTCTCTCTCCCCCCCCGGCTCTCTCTCCCCCCCT